TTAATATATAGTTCAGATTATTTTTTTATAAAGTTACACTATTACTAAAATCTAAAATCTGCATTTATAGTATAATCCAAAAATGGTAAAGATAAACAAAGATCGTCATTTACAGGAGGAAACCTAATTCCCTATTTTTCAAAAAAGAAAAATAAAAAAAAAGGAAAAAAGGAAAAGCCGTAGAACTTTGGTATAGAAAGTTTATTCAGGTAGAACCAAAAATCATAAGCCAGAAGAGGGAATGTATTGCTACTTGACCCAGTCCAAGTAGTTTAGTGAGTTTATCTGTAATATCTCTACAAGTTATCCAGTAGGCCAAGAAAAAACTAAGACCTGCTAAGGTCAGTAGCAAAGCTCTAGTAAGCTACTTACAAAACTAGCGGTAATAGTTCAAAGACTATACTCTGCCTAGTTCAGGACGTTATTTCTCGCGCTGTTCAATATTTTTTCCTTGCTGAGTAGTTGAAGTTATTTCTTGTAATATTTTTCTGTTTACTCTATTTCAGTTCTAGTGATCGTTAGAAAGAGTTGTGTGCTGAATATTAAATCTTAATTGAATTATTTATATAATAATGATATATATATTTGTTGTTTTATTTAAATTGTATATCAATAGATAACTTTTCAAATTAGAAAATAGTACAAACTTGCTAATCTTTTATTAGAAATTTATTAAATTTACTACTTTTGTTATTTTTCAATAAAAAGAAATCTAAAGAACTTGAAGAGAAAAAAAAATAATACTAAAAGAAACTTTAAAGAAGGAAATATACTAAACCTAGTTCTAATATTATAGTTAGAGCTTTATACCTTAACTAATATAGTGCAAGAAGCCTAGAACTGATATCACGTAACTTATAACAATATATATAAATAAAATTATATCTAATCAATAAGAATATTATCAAACTAAAAAAAAAACTCTGTAAATTGGTTATTTAGAATCTGAATTACAATGTTACAGAGAGTTTTTTCATTTTAATTTACTATTGCTTAAGTTATTAGCTATTAAAATTTGGGTATTTTTATATAACAATTCGAATTTGGCTATATTTTGTAATATACAAATTTATATAAAAATAGTGTTATAAGTTTTTTTGGCTACAAGTTTAAATAACTAATTGCATATTTTCGCTTTATTTATTTATTTTTTTTTATTTGCATTATTTTTAACTTATTTAATTTATTCGATTTTAATTATTTTATTTTATTTTTATTATTTATTTTTTATTCTAACACTATTTTTAGTTTTATTATTTATCGTTTAATTGCGATTATTTAATAGCAAATATTTTCAAATTAAACTTTATTTTATCTTATTGAACTCAAATAAGTTTCAGGATTGTTATTTTTGTTTTTTTTTCTTGCGCTCAAATAATATGCGATATTGCTCAATTTTGAATGATATTAAATTAGATTTATTTTTTATAGATTATATTGCCTGAAGTGTAGTTTCTATTTGCGCACTATTTGAACTTGACAAACCATACCTTGTTGAGTACTTTTCTTCAATTTTTTGATATATTTTTTCAAATTTACGTACTTCTAACTTTCGATTGTTCTAAAATATTTGCTTACAAAATATAAGTTTTCTTTTTTTTTTGTTTTTTGTTTTTTTTCTCCCTTTTTTTTTTTTTTTTTTTTGTTAATCCTTAACTATTTTATCATAAAATATCGTATTATACTATAAATGCAGATTTTAGATTTTAGTAATAGTGTAACTTTATAAAAAAATAATCTGAACTATATATTAAAAAACTTACTTAGTTAGAATATCCTATTTCTGACTAATTAAAATAACTTCCTTTAACTGTATTTTAAATTTTGTGAATTAAAATATTATGAAAAAACCTATATTTCAAAAATAAAAATTTAATTATAAATGATATTTAAAATACCTAAGAGAAGGTCTAGTGATTTTAGTATAGTAGTTAGGTTATCAGACCATCATATAAGAGATCTGAGGTTCAAATTCTACTATCGATGAGTTTGAATAATTACTCAGATCTTTGTATCCAACTTATGGTAAACCCTGTCTGTTTCTAGAGGTTGTAACCCTGTAAATCATATTGCACTAATATCAATCAGACATTAGAAGTGCGATACAATGCTTAAGTTATATTGTACGAATAAATCTTAATAGGATCTATGAGCAGGGGATCTGCATAGTAGAAATTCCAAATTAGATAAAGTAGTACAGATTTTAATAATCAAACTAGTTAATACTTAATCTAGTGAAAAATCTGAGTACAGAAGATATGAGATCGATAGGTGCAAGTAAGTCTGCTGTATAATACAGCCTGATGCCTTACATTAGTGGCAACATCAATTTGGCTTGGCAGCTAACTAGATTGGGAGGATCTACCTCATGAAATATCAGAAATCTCGGAGGACTATATTTGGTAGAGAGCTATGGTAAGAACTGGGTTTGTGTAAACATCTATAAGGGTATATGCTAGCTTAATTAGGATATAGCACGCTATAGTTAGAGTATTTTGCATGCTCCTTTTGATGAGAACAAAAAGGTATCTTGAGATAGGGCCCTCCTAATAATGAAACTGAAACGCAAGGCGGTCTGAGTGGTTCTCTATTAGGTAGCACAAGATTGTGCAGTTTTAAGACTAATTAGATTAAATGTTAGAGATGACGGTACACCAGAGAGTTTAAAATAGAGTATCTATAAGGGGATACTAGGTATAGCAATTGGTAGTAACCTTCAGGCGAAACCTTTAAATAGACAATGATTAAAAGTTGTATGTGTGACTAATTGTACTTTCACTTATCAATATAGACCTACAAACATCTTAATAAAAATTAACTGGCATCGAGGCCCTGTTGTAAAAATAAAAAATAAAAAAAAAATAAAATAAAATACCTAAGAGCAATTTTATCAATTTGTAACAACAATTAAGGGACAATGTTTTCAGAGATCCTTCGATGTGATTTATATTTTTTTACAGCAAATTCAGCAGCAACAAGTAATAATCCTTTTCTATAAGTATCCATATATCACTATACTCTTCTTGCAAACTTCTAGATTGTTATAACATCTACAGAATCAAGAGCTTCCAGTACAGTATTTCGTAACCTTTAAAATGTGTAATTACAATGACTTCTTGTATATTTTTTTATTACAATCTAAAAATACTTAATTTAGTTTAATTCTGAATGAAATTTAGGATAAAAAACAATTTTATGACCTCGACTATACACAATATCCTCAAGAATATTTTTTTGCTTCATAAAATCTTACAGTCTTGCTAACTTCCTCATATTACAACAAATCTTTTCTTCATCTTCTGAGTACTTAATATATTTACCTCTTAATTATTGATCCCAAATATTTCTTTCTTTCATTACCTGTTTTATTCTCTTCAGTTGTTCTCTTTTATTTACATTTTTATAATTAGATAGAAAAACTATTTCTTGAGATGTACTATCAGATAATTGACCAAGATGCATTCGCAGTTATTTGCTACTATATTTTACATTCATTCTGCTTGCTACTAATGCATCTTTAGCAAAAGCATTATGATTCGAATTGTTATCGAATCCAAATACAAAAATTATGCTTAAGAGTGCAATTTTCAAAACATCAATTGTTCGTTTAAGTTGTTCAGCAAGCAACTAAATATTCCAATAACCATCATAGTTTACACCAACCTCAAGAGTCTCTGTAACATATCTATTTAGAATTTTTGAATAGGCTAAATATTGTTTTACAGTTAAATGAACATGTCTCAAAGGTTCACATAAAAATTCACTAACGTGAATATATCTGCTTTGTCTCTTTGGATGTAATTTTTGTTCACCTATTTTGAAAAAAAAACATAAATAAATAAATAAAAATAATTTTACCAAACAAATTAACCTGAAAAATACAAACCTTCAGGCCTCCATTCAGTTTTTTTATCATTATTAGCAGCTAATGTTGTCTCATCATATGTTACTACACAATGTGGCTTTTGATTAAGAGAAATATTTTTTTTAACTAATTTTGTTAAATTATTTTCATTATATTCAATAAGAAGAGGTTCTAACTCAGCTATCATAGGTAAAAAAACCTCTTGTCAATACTATACTACATCCTCCTGTTTATACCTATCTACATATATATCCTTTTTCTATTACTTATAACTCCACTCAACTTTTTAAACTATTCTAATGTGGTCTTTTCACTTATAGTCATTTTTTTCAATACTTAAAGATGAAAAGACTTCATTTTCTACAAATTCTTTTAGAATCTTGGAGTTTATACTAAACTTATTGCATTGTAAATATGATATTATCTATTTAAAATAGAATCTTTGGTAAGCAATGAATTGAGAATTGTATTTAAAGGTAAACCAATTTTTTTTTTTACCTTTATTGATATTCTTTCATTATCAATAAGGCTTGCTATTTTCACATGCTTGTCATGATTCTCTTTTAGTAATTTTCACTACCTTAACTACTCATTACCTCATGTACAAATACATCTTGTTTTGTAAGCTCCTCAGCCTAATGACCCAGCAATCGTTATACTTGAATTTATTTTAGTCCAACCTTGATATCTCAAATGCAAATATTGTAATGCCATTTGTAAATGAACCTTAGTTCCTTTATCAACTTTTTTACTGTTCTTTTCTAATATATTGTCTAATTTCTCAATTACTCATTTCATATAGGCTTTATAATTGTTTACACTAACTCTACTACTGAATCTACAGTATTATTGACCATTATTATATCTTTATACTCATCAATCACTATTGTATCTACAGCCTCATCAACTAAATTTGTCTCTATTAATTACACTGCTATATCTGCAGCTGAAAATTTAGATAAGTAAGAAGTAATAAATTTTGTGTTTTGCACAGCTTTTTTTAGTTCAGCTTTTTTTCATCTTAATATTCTTCCAGAATTACCATAATTATAAGTAGGTCTACCTACAATTTTCCAAGTATTATTATTTCTAGCAGCTGCTAGTAAAACTTCAAAGTAACTATTAGCTTTTTCATCGATTTTTTCATCTATCCAAATATGATCGTCAAGCTCTTCATCAACTAATTCATAATCTAATAAATTATTATATTTGTTTATTGTCTTACTTTTTTTTAAATATGTATGCTCAACTTTTGATTTTCTTGTAGCCTCAAGTTAGTGTTTTCTTTTATTCAGGAGAGACATAATAGTGATATGCATTAAATTCAATAAAAATTAAAACTATAATCTTTTTACACAATTTTGTTGTAATGGCTTTGGTGTTTTTTCATATTTTTTTTTAAGGATTTATTAGTCTAATTTTTTTTTTCTTATGACAAAAAAAATAAGTTGGCCTACTTTATGACCTTATGAATACTGAGAATTTATAGCAGGTCTACTTTATAACCTTATGAATATTGGGACTTCTGGATCTATATATCATAGGACTCAAGTCCACAGAGTTTGTGTTATATCTTGTACTCACTTTATTATAGTACTTTGCTTCTTATTCTAACACTTGAATCTTCTTTGTAAATGACTTCAAGAATGAGTTTGATCTTACAGATCGAACCTTATTTATTTATTTGCTTTCATGCATTATTACATTACTGATTCGTTACAATAGATTATAAAATTCTATTGTCATAAATAAACTTCTATATTTTAATTATATAGATCTTGCTAATTACGATTTTACTCCTACAAGACTAAAAAGAACTAACTCTAGTACTAAGTCTATATCTAACCAATCATACATAACTAATTTGTGAAATTTAATTGGATAATTAATTAATCATATGATTAGTACTACTTTAGAATTTTGGCTATAATAGTCACATGATGTCGGTTTTAGGCTTTTTGCACTATATAACTTCTTCTTTCTTCTTATTTTGTTTTAATTCATAAATAATACTTTGCATATATATACAAGTTTCTATATATATTTTTTACTAAGAGAGAGCTTTTTATAACTAGACTTGTACTATTTATTACTAAACTTCTATACTTGTACTAGTCAAAATATATAATATACTAAATAAGTATTAGAGATACTACTAAACTTTTAAAGTAAAAACAAGATTTTTTTTTGTTTTAATATTAGTGTTGATAATTGACAAGAAGTATATACTGTTCTCAAAAAGATTTTTAATATTTTCAAAAATTTTTTTTTAATATAATTTATAAATTTTATATTTTTAAATAAAAATATAATTTTTTTTTGTTATAACAAAACCTTGATATTAGTTAATTTTTATTAGATTATTTGTAGATTTATATTAGTTCTAGATATTTTATAAAATAAATTTTTCTAATCTAGTTAGCTATTAAACCAAGTTAATGTTGTTATTCTATTATATAATAGACTTATTTACATCTACTTGATCTATATTTTTTGTATACAAACTTCTTTTTCAGATTAAGTATCAACTAAGGTTTGGTGATCTTAGTATAGTGGTTAGATTAACAGACTGCTATACAATAGGTCTAGGGTTCAAATCTTACTGTCGATGAATTTGAATAATTTCCCAAACCTTGTATTCAACTTACAGCAAACTCTGCTCATTTTTGGAGTTGTAATTCTGTAAGTTAAGTTGCACTAAGTTAATTGGATATTGGTAGTGTGATGCAGTTAATCACAGGATGATATATAAATCTTGATAAGAAAATATTAGTGTAACACAGTTAATCATAGGATGATATACACACACGAATAATCTATGAGCAGAAGACCTGCATAGTAGAAATCCTGAGTTGGTGAAGTAGTATAGCTTTTGACAGTCATATCAGCTAATACTTGATCTAGAAAGGAAACTATTGTCAAAGATGCAAATCGAGTCAGGTACGCATAAATCTGTTCCACAGAGAGGATCAGTAACACCAACTTGGCTTGGTAGCTAACTGAATTGGGAGGATCTGTTTTGTAAAACATCTGAAAAGATAGACACAGAAAACTGGTAGAGAGCCACAGTAGAAACTGAGGTTGTACGAACATCTACAAGGATCTAAGCTAGGTGAGCCCATGAAATAGGCATGGGCTGCTCTAGCAGGTTTGCTTCGAGGCTAACTAGAGCTCTGTGGGTTCATAATATATTGAGCAATAAGCATCCTGAGAGGACCTAAGCTAGTATTGAAAAATGGATCTGTAACAAGCTAGCTAGCTTAAGTGATTAGGTATTACAGTGATGTTAGTTTGTAACAGTATAGGTTAGTT